CCGCCCCAGCTTTCGCCCGCACCATGGACCGCTGCTCCCTGGCCCGCGAGATGTCCAACCTGGGCGTTCCCCGCGACCAACTGAACAAGTGGGCCTGCATTGCCGAGCACGAGTCCTCCTACCGCACCGGAGTGGTGGGTCCCGAGAACTACAACGGATCCAACGACTACGGAATCTTCCAGATCAACGACTACTACTGGTGCGCTCCTCCCAGCGGTCGCTTCTCCTACAACGAGTGCGGATTGAGCTGCAACGCCCTCCTGACCGACGACATCACCCACTCCGTCCGTTGCGCCCAGAAGGTCCTCAGCCAGCAGGGATGGTCCGCCTGGTCCACCTGGCACTACTGCAACGGATGGTTGCCGTCCATCGATGACTGCTTCTAAGCCGATTTCGACCCTCAATAAAAGTGTAGCTCAAAAGATATCCCTCCTCGGTTTTTCTATTGCATCTCTAAGATAGTTTGTTTCCATTCGTCATTTATAATATTTAATTGTATGTGGAAAAAGCGAAAAAGCCACTTCTCAACTAGTTTTGAATTTCTCCACAAATATTTCCCCTAACACCCATAAATACCCAGAAATGAATTTGTCACAAACTTTGCGTGAACAGTTCACTTTCTATGTTTTTGAACAGAATTTTATTGAAATTCGCTAATCAACTTGAAAGTGTCTCTTCAGCAAAAAAGAAAAAAAAAGGCATTAATATATGCGGCAGAAATAAACATTTTTAAAACAAACAAAGACAGAAGCATCGCTTGCCCATAAAATTAGCCAGTCGCATTTCGCGACTCTTTTCCAAAAGAAAGTAAACTCGAGGCGACTGTCAGCGGGTCAAAGTCAAATAATAACCTCACCTAAGCACATTCATTATAAATCCATTGGGTTTGGACTTGTCTTTTTGACTACAGTACGTCCCAAACCAGTAAAACTGGTGTCTCTCGAGTGCAGAACGCGACTTTGACAACTTGAAATTGAAATGCAAAAAGGCCCAAAGCTAAACTTCCGTCTTGGGTACTTCAGAAACAATAGTGTTGTATCGCTTTTGGAAATTACTGACAGCCTGAGGTGTCCACGGAACAAATATTGTGCACACGTTTTGCAATTATTTGGCGATTGGAATCTCAGTGCCTGGGGTGTAATTCGCATTTTCAGCTGAGAGAAAGCGAAAACAGTAAGATCAACAGAGCATTTATCCTTGACTCATCTTCATTTCAAATCAGATACCAACCAGATACAGCCATTAAGCAATTAATGTGCAGCTCGAAAATGACTGTCTTGGATACGCGAAGAACCTTCTTAATCTTCGATAGCAGACCAATTATAACCCCTCATTTATCAACGGGCAATATCTGTAGAAAAATCCCCGAACTTCTTATCAAATTAATAAGTACATACATTGGGTGTTTGAATAAGTTTTGTTTTTTGTTAATCAGGCGCATGTATAGACTGATTTTATCAGACTTTTCAAAAGGGGGGATCTCTTGGGATCTCTTCTGAAGTTTGGCAGCTTGGTTTCACCCAGCATCGATCTGATCTGGAGACTCGACATGTTCCTGAACATCAGTAAGGCATTACTCGCTGGGTGGTGATGTATTAGATCATTACATGCCACTCAAAGTGTGCATATATTTCTTCGACTTTAGAAGCCAACAGTTCTGAACGTTTCCAACGATTCTGTGAGATTCTGTGGCTGTTGTCTTTCTCCACGCGCTTTCTAAATGGGAGAAAATCGAAGAAAGAGCAGCAGCTTCCCTTCCACTTCCATTCGCCTTTCCACAGGCCGATGACTTTGGGTTGAACCGGTCAATGAATTCTTAATGTGGCCTAGCGCAGTGGGCAATAAATTATACAAGTAGCCAGGTCTCTCACTCTGGTGATAAACGTACATCTCAGCTTCTTAGAACGGGAACGGGAACAGGGAACTGGGAACGGCGGGCACTCAGAGCACCCAGAGATTGGCCAAAGGAAGTGGCAGTGTGGAAACGCACAGACAAAGACCCTCTGGCGAGCTAGGTTGTGGGATTGGATTGATCACCTGAGGAACAGGCTGAAACAAAGCAGGAAACCAAAGACCGGAAAATTACACTCATGCCATTCCTGGTTTCCTCTGGTTACCCACCACCATGGATAGGGAAGGAATGGGAATGGAAATGGGAATGGGAGTGGGGCAGGGAAAGAGCAGTACCCAGCAGAAGTACCCACCCGGCAAAGAGTGTTTCCTATAATCTGAGCACATTAGCACAAGTCGGCCTGGAGCGCATAAGTAATAGGTAATTGCCCGAGGTGGAGGTTCGCCGCCCTCTGGAGCGACATTGCGTGGATTGCGTGGGTCAGGCTAAAACAATTGCTGGAAGTCACTGTAGCGTTAAGTTATGATGGTCCTCAGATAAGCGACTCACCGCAATGGGCGGAGGAGGATGAGGTTTACACTTGGTTTGTGGCCCATCTAATTGGTCTGGGTAGCAGTAGAAGACAGACAGAAGAAGAAGGAATCTGGAGGAGGGCTGCTTGGGAAACGGGTTACTGGAGAACTCAAGCTGCCAGATTTGGTTGAATATCTTTAGGCAGTGTGAGCTTCTGGTGGATCTTCCTAAAGGAGATCGAAATATCATCAATAGGTCTGAAAAACCCCCTGGCAAAGCGCAGATGTATTAGCCGATAGTAACGAGTCAAATATCTTGAAATGGACTCTCGAAAGCCCATCGAATTTGGCAATTCATGTGATTTTCATTTCGATAGGGTGCGTAATTAAATTATCAATGCTGCCCCTCCAGCCGACGTATCTTCAGACAATTTTCCACTTGGCATATGGAACTTGACATGGAACCGATGCCCCAAATGGTGCAAATCGCATGGTGCGATAGCGGATATCTCTGGCCGCCGTCCGCCGGGGGTTCACTTTTATCAGCGCACGAGTTGCTCGAGTTCCTCGAGGCTCTGAATCAAATATGGCCAAGAGCCGCAGAAGTCAAAGTCTCATCGCCGCAGTTGAGTTTTCCACTCGGAGCTGACCGGAGGCAGCAGTGTGTGGCCGAGACTGGCGGAGATCGCTTGAGTGGTCCGGGTTTCGGGGTATCTTCCAGGTTCTGGGCGCGGAGAAAGCCGGGCTCCGGTTACCAGGCATGTGACGATCTTTCCATCGGACGAGGTGAGTCTGCTGTGGATGCGCAGGCCCAGGCTGAACTTGCACACTCCCGAGATGATCGCATTACTGTTTTCCGCCCGGTTAAGTTAACATGATCTTGGGGCTCCATTGTCAATGGCAGCCCAGCTGCGACGCCAGACCAGAGACACCACTTGGCCCGGTCTCTGGTTTGAGCCACTTTCGGCATCAATTACCAGTCACAAGCTGGGCTCACAAATTACGAGCAGTTCCCCCAAGAGCCCCAAAACGCAACTGTGTCAAAAGGCAAGCTCCACGGACTGCGATATGGTTTCAACGAAACATAAACCCTAATTACTAATTATATTATTTGACAGCTGCGGCCTGCTGATACATAACCGCGGGCGGCCAACGAGTCCCAGTGAAAACTGTAATGAGCGCTGGAAAATCTCTGCCCAAAAACAAAACCCGCCGAAGAAAACCATTTTAATTTAGAGTCAAGCGCGAGGCCGTCAAGCATGACAGTCGCCACCCAGTACACTTGAAACAAATTTGGGAGATGTAGGCTTCATTTTTGAGCACTTGCTTGGGGGTCAGTGGTGTGTTGCTACCAAATAATGCTCAAATAATTTGTTACACCCACTTTCTAATATTCGTGAAAGGCTTTTCTCGGAGTGCACCTTCCAGTCGGCAATCAAAAAGATGACAAAAGTCGGCGACGGGCGATGGGCGATGCGATCTCGAGTCGTAGCTCAGGGAGCTGACAGCCCTGGGAAATGTGGTAGGAATCTGGTGGAGAGATCTCTGACAGCTGAAAAGTGGCCACATTTCTCCGGGATTGTCGGTTGCTAAATTCTCCTAATGGTTTTATCTCTGGGTACATTTTCAGCCAGAGACAAATGGCACAGCACCGAAATGCAAATGGCGAGAAGAAATGGAACTGCCATGAGAACTTTTGCATTTGGAGCTGTCGGCGGTGACTTAATCTCTGGCATCATCGTCAGCGAACGCAAAGCCACATCCGATGCCCAAGACTGGGTCTCCCATCTTGGCCATATACTTTATGTTGTATGTTGTATGTTGTATGTTACATGTTATCTGCCGTGTGTTTTGCCACGGACTTGTGCAACAATTTGGCGAGGTGTCGGCTCAGCGCGCGAAGAGAAACTTTCCCATTTGCACGGAATCTTCTTAGCTTCATGAGCTGAGCTGTCCGAAATGGTTTTTGGCCGAGAACCGCCTCGATTGGGAAAGTCCGTGGCTGAGTGGCGGGAAAAGCTGTGTGTCCGCTGTGTCCAATCCGCGGAATGGCATTCCGCCAAAACCCTTGAGAATAGCGCCACAAATTAACACATTAGGCACTGCCCAGTGCCGACTTGTCATTGCCTTTTGCCATGTGGCCGGGCCTAAACGAGCCCAAAATGGCAAGTTGATCTCCGGCGATTAGCCGCGAATGGCAATCCCATAGACCTACATCGTGTCCACGTCCCCGCTCCGCCACAGATGTAATTGAATCGAAATCGCTGTCGATCCGAGCCAAAGTCCGTTGGCACTCGCCACCAGAGGCACTAGGAGTTTCCATCGCAGCAAACATGATGAATAAACGGCGCGATAACGGCGACTTTTCATACGTAATTTGTTTTATGCCTGGAAATTAAATGAACTTGTTTGCCAGCCATTTGCCATCTTTCTGGCCAAGACTGACGCTCCAATAGATTTCAGTCGCTTTGGCCGGGCCAACTGTCATAATGGCTCTGTTATGTGTGGGCCATTATATAAAATTTCACTTTTCGCCGCTCGTTGAGCCAAAAGGCTCTCCTGCTTCCAATTCCATTGGAGACAGTTTTGCAATTGCTCAAAGATCACGAGCCCACTGCAGTCGAGGAGTATGAGTCTTGAGGTGCATGAACATCGTAAAAGCCAAAAGTCTATGAAGCTAATTATATATACTGGCGATAGCCAGATGTCTTCAGCTCACAGAAACTTCGAACCCGCTTTATTTGGAGGTTTCTTGGTTTGACTTGGCAGCCACACTTCGGGCGCAGGCGGACTAGAAGCAACCATCGATCGAGGGCAGGGATCCGCTGCAGTACTTCCAGGTGGACCAAGCCGTCCATCCCTGCTGGCGCTGAATCTTCTGGGCGCACTTCACGGAGCTGCTGATGTCGTCGGTCAGGAGGGCGTTGCAGCTCAGTCCGCACTCGTTGTAGGAGAAGCGACCGTCGGCGGGCTTGCACCAGTACTTGTTGTTGATCTGGAAGATGCCGTAGTCGTTGGAGCCGTTGGAGTTGGCCGGACCCACCACGCCGGTGCGGTAGGAGCTCTCGTGCTGGGCGATGCAGCTCCACTTGGCCAACTGGTCGCGGGGCACACCCAGCTTGGCCATCTCTCTGGCCAGGGAGCATCTGTCCAACGTTCGGGCCTGGGTGGCGACTGCTGCCAGAGCCAGGGCACAAATCACGAGGAAGGCTTTCATCTCACTGAATTTACTGATAATTCGATAGCAGTCGCGTTATATTTATAGCCACGAGGAGCATTCAATGGTCGCAGTTGAGTCAACATTGTAGAAGCAGCAATCAGTACTATTTACCCCTCATTAGGTGGCAAATAAGCGGGCTTTTCCATACATAGTTGGTAGTCAAACTCACTCTTCCGCCGAGGTGCATGCTCCGTAAACTACAAATTCAGATGCCAGATTTCGCGTAAGATTTCAACACCATGCAGGCTGCGATGTTTGAGTTCTTATCTGTAGGTTATACTTCTTGGCCCATCACTTGTTTGCCATTTTAGCTAACACGGCACCTCGAGTGCCCAAAAATACGGAAGTGCTTGGCCCCAGATATGGCGGTTCCTCCGCACTCGAGCAGACAATCTACGCACTGAATAAATCGAAGCTGAAAGTATCTCAGCTTTGTGCGTAAGCGATCCATTCGGGTGGTGGAGTCGACTGACGTCTGTGCTCCACCAGCTATTCGGAATATTTATCTCCAATAGAGCAGGCATTGCATTGTTTGGCCATTTCGCGGTGGGTCCCTGCTCACGCAACTCGGATGGGTGGGGTTGCATGTGGGGGCTAATTATTCAACGTTATTCATTGTGCGGCATTCAAACTATTCGAGTCTGCAAACTGCACTGCATGGCAACGGCGTGGCTGTGGCTGTGGCAGTGGCTCTTTCTCTGGCCCAAACGAATTCCCATCCCGGCTTTTGCACGGCCCAAGTTTAATGTCCGACTTCGCAGTGGCTTAATGGCGAAACAGCTCCACTTGACTGCAGCTATTAGCCCCCGGTCGTGGTCTGGTTTATGGCCGGCCGAAAGAGTGATTAATCATCCGGATTGCCACTTGGGCGGCCCCAGAGCTCTATCTTTTCGGCTACTCGAGCCCCTACTCAATGGGCTCTTGGCAGCTCAATGAGCCAGCCCTTCTAAGCCAATTCAGCCAGCCAGTTCCACGTCATTGTTGATATAACAGCAATTATGCTAATCAGTTTGAAGGCGCGTCGAGGCCTCTACCTTTCTCCTACATTCAATGAACTTCAGCCACGATCCAAGCGATGACGAAACCAGGTGAGCACCTGGCCTTCGAGGTGGTCGATAGTGCCTAATCAGTCGAAAGCTCCCTGAACCCCATTTGGACTGGGTAGCCTAAAACTATGCAGCAGGGTTCCTTTGTATTCTTGAGCAGAACGTATTTGTATATCCTTATCAGCAGAACGCGTACATGCTGATAAGGTTGCTTTCGCCGTCAGTGAAATATGAAATGCGGGGTTCCCTTGTTATTTGAGTGCTCCAAGCTACACGTCTGATAAGCAAACGGCAAGTATAAATAGCTTAGAAGGCAAGTCAAACAGTTTTGTTTAAGAAATCGACATGAAGGCTTTCCTGGCTCTGGTGCTCCTGGCCATTGCCGCTCCTGCCCTGGCAGCTCGCACCCTCGACCGGTGCTCCTTGGCCAGAGAGATGGCCAACCTGGGTGTTCCCCGCGACCAGCTGGACAAGTGGACCTGCATTGCCCAGCACGAGAGTAACTACCGTACCTGCGTGGTGGGACCAGCCAACTCCGACGGCTCCAACGACTACGGCATCTTCCAGATCAACGATCTCTACTGGTGCAAGGCCGATGGACGCTTCTCCTACAACGAGTGCGGATTGAGGTGCAACGCCCTCCTGACCGACGACATCACCAACTCCGTCCGTTGTGCCCAGAAGGTGCTCAGCCAGCAGGGATGGTCCGCCTGGGCCGTGTGGCACTACTGCAGCGGGTGGTTGCCGTCCATCGATGACTGCTTCTAAGCTGACCTGGACCCTGAATAAAATGAATTCACAAAGAATATATTACTCGATGGTCTCTGAACTGGCTGGAAACCCACTCTCAGGCAATCTAAAACGTTGTTAAAGAGTCTGATGATATAGCAATATCTTCAGTTTCCCAAGCAGTGTCCAAATTGCCATGAGATCCTTTCGATCCATGACCCTGGCCGAGTGCTTCACTTGGTTGGACATCTATTGCGGCTAATGGAGCGCACTCTTCGAAGCCATTAGCCCGGGGCGCCACTTCACGGCTTATCAATTCCAGTTCCAGTTTTGTGGAGCAGTTTTCAATTTCTGCCTCACAAATTGATTTATGCAAATTTCTGGGGCCGAACCCCGCCTCCTTCTTTCTGTTTTGACTGATCTTTCAACAGCTGCCGTTGAGTTTGGAGTTTTGAGTTTTGAGTTTCTCCTGTCTGCAGCCAGTGGCTGCTGACATTGATCGACGTGGTTTTGTTTGAGCTGCTGTGGGAATCTCAGCCACACGGCCAGATGCCCCAGTCCATGTAGCCCCCGATTGGGAGTCGGAGCTGCGTGAGGGGCAGAGGCGCACCTGGCGAAAGAATCGCATTGGACCCACTCCCCGGCATAACTGGGCATCGGCGGTACGTGACTGATGGGCTGATTGATACCGGCTGAGGTAACCCACCTGAGTGGCACGTCATAAGCGCCGAGCACAATGGCATATGCGATTTGCATAGCCACATGTGAACCGTTAACCCCTGATTGTGGTTCAACGGTACCCGGCACCCGTTCCTCGAGAGAGGGAGCTGCAACCCGAGATGGTCGCCTCTGCTTTATCTGGCCAGTGAAAGTGTCCGTAGTGCCTAGCATATTCAAATGCAAATGCTGCATTTTATTTTGTCAACGCATCGAAGGCAGAAACTGAAAACAAATCAGCGACTGTCACAGATCAAAATTCGACTCCATCGGATCGCTTAGTGGCTGGGAAACAGGCCTGCAGCCCACTTGCGCGACTGGGTGTCGATCTGGGTGTCGTTGGCAGCGGATATCTGCGAAGGCACCTGTCCAGACAGCACGAAACCACAGCCCAAGTCCAGCTGCAGATAAGCCTCGGCTCAAAATGTTCAATAAACTTAACGGCTTGTTTTTCCGGTGCGTTACGTGGTGGCGACCCAAGCTCCAACTCCAGCTCCAACTGCAACTCCCAACCTCACAACCGCTTTTAAATATGCAAATTCAAGTTCTGCCATGTCAAGCACGTACATTAATTGACTCCACCCGATTGGTTTTCCCCTTCCAATTAACGCAGCGACAGCTCGACACTGCAGCGACACCATCCGCCAGCCCGTCACCCAGGACAGCTCCACCTCCAGATGGCTCCCAGTGTGTGCGAGATGGCCGGCCAGGGTCAAAGTGGTGCCCCCAAAGTGCTGCCCCCGCCGAAAGCAGGCGGCTCCAACAGCTCGGGCACTAACAAGTGCGGAGCCAGCAGCCTGAATGGATCCCTGGCCTCCTACAAGATCGGCGGCTCCGAGCAGAGCTGGCCTCAGGCCCCAGTTTACAGCAAGGTGAGTGGATAGCTTAGCCATGGTATAGTATCCAAGTGGTCACCACATACTCGTAGGAAAATCAGCGTCCGCCTGTCTACAATCCCGAGGACTACGTTCACTCGCTGAGGAAGTTCATCAAGGCCAGCGGCTCGGCCAAAAAGCTGTCCATATATGATGTGTGCACGGGCCCGACTCCCAAAGAAGAGGCCTCCAGATCGGCCACTTTGCCAGCCAAGCACTCGGAGTACAAGTAATGTTACTGTACTGTGTATGTTACTGATATAGCTAATCCATTTTTTCCCTCCAACAGATCTCCCATTCCCGCTCCACCAGAAAACGATAGAGAGATGTCCCTGCGCCAGTTTGGCTCCATCACCGATTTGTTGACCAAATTGCGAGCTGATCTGCGAGTGTCCTTTCCCAGGTAGGATCAATGCCGCTCTTCAGCGATTTTTGCTAACGACTTTCCTTCCAGCTTCGTTCAGGAGTTTGTGGGCACTCCCGCGGATGGTATTAGCCACTTGATGGAAGTCCTGCGCGCCATTCAAATGGCCCAGGCCAGCAATGCCCCGGCTCCAGTGCCAGGAGCCTCCAGCTCCTTGGCCATGACCAGGAATCCCCAAAGCTATCAGCGCCGTGCTTTGCTGGACGAGCTGTCTTGCCTGTGAGTTGGAGCTCTCAGAGTGCCAGAGCCGAAAGTGCCTAATCTAATCCCTCTAATCGATGTCCCCCCAGGCAATGTCTGAGCATCTGTTGTTCGCGATCTCTGGATGCCATAGCCCGCTTGGGAAACACACCCGTGGGTCTCATGCCACTGGCTTCCTCGGCCACGGGTCAGGGCATCCGAGCTCGAATCCTGGCGCTCCAGTTGCTTGCCTCCGCCTGCGATCGCCAGCCCTTCGGAAGCGGCAGTGGCGGCCAGAAGATAGCCTCTGCTGGGCACACAGCCGTGTCGGATGCCATGTCCACTTTGCGGTTGAGATGCAGTGAACCAGTGCGCTTCCGCTTGCTGGTCGGCATCCTGAACAGCGGCGGTGGTTCAGGCGAGCTGCAGTGCGCGGGTGTTAAGTAAGCGAATCATTGGGGCAACAGCTTAAGTGATTACTGAGCATTCCTAATCTTCCATAGATTTCTCAACACATTCATTGAGAGCGCCGTAAGCACTCAGCAGCGGCTGTACATCCAGGCTGAGCTCTTTCAGGCAGGATTGGATGCCAGCACCTTGGCTCGCACCATCTCCTCCTCCTCGCCCTGGCTGGATGCGCTGAAGATCGAGGTGAAGCGCTTCAACGAACTCCACATCGACGTGGACCAGATGATAACCCGCGCCAGGGATGCGGAGCGGGTGCGCAGCCAAATGGTGATCCTGGAGCGAAGGGTTCAGATTCTGCACGAGGAGAAGGCCGTGCTGACCTCCATGGAGCGGCGACTGCAAGAGCGTTGTGCCGAACTGCAACGCGAGATCTTCCGGCTGCAGGGCACGCAGCAGCAGTCCAAGTTCAAGCCCGTGGAGTCCTCCCATCAGCCAGTGGCGCTTCCTCGTCAGGTGCCACCACCTAAGAAAAACAAGCAGAACAGCTCGGAGCACGAGGACGAGGGCATCAGCAGCTCGGAGACGGGTGCATCCCTGAGTCCAGTGCCCATTTTGGTTCTTCCCTCCAAGGCGAAGCCATCGCGAAAGGTTGTCGAGGAGGATGAGGACGATGCCGCAACCATTGAGGATGTCATCGAGGAGCTGGACAACATTGTGAGTGAGGCCGAAAAGCAGATCAGCAGCCAGACGAGCAGTGTCTCCCGGTCGAAGATGCGCCACCATCGTCCGGTCGAGAAGGACATTGTGCCGGTTAACATAGTACCGCAGCCTCCCAGGAAATCCCGCTCCCTGGCACATCTGGTGCCCCGCACCGATTGCTCCGAGCAGGAGGGATCGGATTATGGAATGGTCCTCCACCAACCAGGAGATCCCGACGCCGCCGAGCGACTGGCGGCCATGCAGAGCTTCTTCGACGAAGTGGACTACGATGCTCCGGAGACGGATCAGCCTGCTGTCTACCAAATGGAATCGCCCACGCCGGACATGCCAGAGGCGAATGCCACTGCCACGGCCTACAATGCGAGCACAAACCGGGAGTTGCTGGACGTGATCATGAATGCGCGGCACGACGAGCACGATCCCACAATGCAGGCCCTGCGGAAAAGCGCCCAGGATGCGGCGCCCGTGGCGATTCCCCATCATCCGGTGAAGGCTAAGGCCCCCGCGCCACCGCCTCCGACTCCGCCAGCCCAGCAGTTTAACGGCGTCTTCTTCATGACCGGCATGAACACACCTCAGAAGTATCCCAAGCCAGACATCTCGGCTGCTCTGCAGGCGCGCAGAGTCACCAAGAACGTGGAGCGCCTGGAGGCGGCCTTCGCCTCAGCGCATCCGGAAGCCCTCAACGAAGCAGCCATCGGCAGGGAGAAGTCGCGCAGCAATCAGCAGATATACTTCACCAGCAACCTGGCGATGAGGATGCACGATCACTCCGGCTTTGCCAATTTGCCCACCAGCGGTGGGCAGATTCAGGGTCCCGCCCTCCGCACTCGCTCCCACACGCAGGGGTCCATGTCCAAGGTCACGGATCTGCCATCCGGCCTCTACTGAGCGACGCTCCACTTGATACTCCTGAAGATTCTCCAGCTCCTGTGCAATAGCCACCCACTCCTAGGTTACACCAGCCCACTAGATCAGCGTACTTATAGAACACTTAATAAACACCTTTATTATGCAACATCTCGGGATAACTGCAGCCCAGACTAGGTTAGTTTCGGTGGCAGCTTCAACCGGGTATCTAGCCAGTAAGCCCTAGAATCGTAGTGCATGTCTAGCCTAATTGATTACTCTTCTCTGAATAAAGTTTTTAAACTAAAGTCCTTACTTTTGGCTGCTGGATTTTAGCTGTTAGTAATAGATTCGTCCAGTAAATAAACTGGGTATATCAAAAACTTAGGGTAAGGTACTTCGCTTTCTAGCCAGCTAATCGCTAGCCAGATTAGTCGGATCTTATCGCTCTTCGCCTTGAATATTTGGAGTGCTGGCCAGTTGGAAGTGCATTGGGTTAGTCTGCAAGGGATAGCGCTACCAAAATGAGTGGAAGTTCTGCTAATTCCATAAGACCTCTGCCGCCGGGCCTGCAGAAAGTGGCCATCGAGGAGCTGAACGAGGTGCCAAGTCGAGTGGAATCGGACATTGCTGCTCTGAAGGAGTGGCTGCAGAAGCAGCCGCATCTCTGCGCCTGTCTCGAGGATCAGTTCCTGCTCAGTTTCCTAAGGGGAGCGAAGTTTAGTCTGGAGAAGGCCAAGCAAAAGATTGATCGCTTCTATAGCTTGCAAGGCGCCATTCCGGAGGTTTTCAACGACCAGCGATTGGTGGACAACGCCCAGGTGCTGGAGATTATTCGGCTGGGGTATGTAGGTCAGCTTTCATGTCCCCAAACTCAAAGTATATCTATGGCTGTTCCTGCAGAGTGATTCTGCGCATTCCCCTCGAGGGGGAGGACACTGGCCCAGCTGTGACTATAATTCGAGCTGGCTCCTATGACACCAACAAATTCAAGTTCCAGGACATCATACGTGTGGGCTCCATGTTCGGAGAGATCATGATGCTGGAGGACGACAATGCCTGCGTCAGTGGCTACCTGGAGATCTTGGACATGAGCGGAGTGACGGGTGCAAATCTGTTTGCCCTCCAACCGCAACTCCTCAGCAAATTCTCCGCCTACGCGGACGAGGCAATGCCAACGCGCCAGAAAGGAATCCACTTCATCAATGTGCCCAAGGCATTCGAGACGGGTTTCAAGTCGCTGCTTGGTTGGTTTCCGGCGAAAATTAAGGAGAGGGTAGGACACTGCTAGACCCATACGAACATCTTGATAACGCCTTTCCTCTTAGGTTTCCGTTAGCTCCGATCCGGATGCTATCTTCCAGCGAGTTCCTAAGCACAATCTTCCTGTGGAGTACGGAGGCTCCAAGGGAACCATGAAGGATATCACCACTCAGATGGAGGCAAAGCTCTCTAGCTACCGGAGCTACTTTGAGGATTGCCAGCACTTTGGAACCAATGACAAGCTGCGCGAGGAAGCCGCAGTGGCAAACCCAGAAGAGAGCCACTTTGGTCTGGATGGCTCTTTCCGCCAGTTGGTCATCGACTGAATCGACTAAGCTACCTGTGCTCTTACCTTGGTCATAAACCTAAACCCAAAATAAAGTGCGATAAGCTCTGCTTTTCTTCTTGGCGACTACTTCAATGTGTGGTTATCTTGGGTAGCTTTCAGTCGAGCGCTTATCGATTTCAGCTAGAATTGCAAAAATGTCACGATGAAACATTCGTTCATCGACCGCCAAGAGAAGACCAACCAGATGCCGTCCATCCGACCCCTGAGCCCCGAGCTCCAGAAGACTGCCATTGAGAAGCTGAACGAGGTGCCACAAAAGTTGGACGATGATATTGCCGCCCTGAGAGATTGGATTAAGCAGCAGCCCCACTTGAAAGCCCGCACGGATGATCAGTTCCTGGTGAACTTTCTACGCGGCTGCAAGTTCAGCTTGGAAAGGACCAAGGCCAAGATCGATAGGTTCTACACACTACGGACCAAGTACCCGGACTTTTACTTGGGCCACAATGTCGATGTCGACAAAGCGCTGGAGATATTTAAATTGGGGTGAGCTGAGAATGCACAAGTCTTAAAGATGTATTTTCTAACCCGCTTCTTCAATCTTTCCCAGCACCATGGTGATTCTGCCACGTCCTCTAAACGACAATGGCCCCCGTTTGGCGCTGATCCGCATGGCCTGCTACGATCCCAGCCAATACACCTTTCAGGAGGTGAATCTAGCCGGCGGTCTCATGCAGCAGATTATGCTCGACGAGGATGATGTGGCCATTGTGAACGGGCTGATATCCATTCTGGACCTGTCCAATGTCACCACCGGGCACTTCCTGCAGATGTCCCCGTCTTTCGCCAAGAAGATGACCGTTTTCCAGGAAGAGGCCCTGCCCCTGCGACCACAGGGAATCCACTTCATCAACACGCCAAGTGGATTCGATACCATCTTCAATATGTTCAAGCCCATGATGTCTAAGAAGCAGCAAGGACGCGTAAGTAGCCCACTGTCCAAAACCTAGTTGGCCAAGTAATTAAAGACCTCCCACGCCCTTCGCCCAGCTCTACGTTCATGGAAGCAAATGGGAAGCACTCTACAGTCAGATCCCCAAGCAGTACTTGCCCGTGGAGTACGGAGGAGAGAACGGATCGATTCCGGAGCTGCTGCAGAGCTGGGAGCAGCGTATTCTGGCCTACCGCAATTACTGGGAGGAGGAGAAGAACTACGGAACCGACGAGAGCCTCCGAGTAGGGCAGCCCGTGGACTTCGAGAGTCTTTTTGGACTGCAGGGCTCCTTCAGGCAGTTGAATGTGGACTAAAGTGTCCGTCCTCCGCCAAATTGCTAAAAATAGCCTTGGCTGCAGCTCTTATCTGTAACAAAGGTAACAAAGGTAAAGGCTGTCGAGAGCTAAACGTGAATCCAATCGATTTGATAAGCCTAGCGATAAGAGCATAAAACAAACAAAAGCCCAACACAGTCCGCAATAAAGATAGTTAATTTTGTATTCAGTTGCACATTAACGGGTTTAGGATTTCAACTTTAGAATAAGTGCATGCACGGCTTATCAGAAGACCACCTGTGCCAGCAGATCAATGGATTCCATCCAGCGGAGAGACGCCATGACCAAAGCAGCAAATGGGTTGAATGAGAGAGCCAAACAATGCCAAGCCAACGAAAGCCAGAGAAAAGCCGAAAATAAAAGTTTTCCAAAACTATGTACAAGTGTCTACGGAAGACAAGAGAACTTCGCGTTAGACCAAAAATAAACCGATTTCCCGAGAGATCCGTGGAGAGTCCAACCGTACTGCGATCCGCAGTAGGAATTTGTGGGTCGTACGGATCGGTGCTTCTTTTCTCTGTACGGATCCCATCGGCATCGGCTTGCTGGGCAAACGGGAGAGTGCGGGGAAACTACACAGCATGGAACTTGAATTGAAAAACTGAAAAGTTTTCCCCAGTGCGAATCAGAAGGCGATCAGCGATCGGTAATCATCATTAACAGCAGCAGTCCACTGACCAAGTCCCGATGGGCCCATAATTTACCAGCGCTAATTGCCCACATGAAATCGAAGTTCATAATTGCTCGGACATGTTATGTAGTCCGCGTCTATAAGCAAGCGGAATCGCAGAGTTCTCGACAGGCGTGGCACGAGATTTGACGATGAGATGAATGCCCCGCCGGGAGCATCAGGGGCACCAGGGGCACCAGGGGCACCGGGCGGCGGTACCCAAAATAGTCTCGCGGAGTCGAGGCTTTCGGTGGCTTCCGCACCCGATCCCCTGGCTCTTTCGGCCTTGCCCCAGCAACCCAAATATATAAATATTTGGACAATGCACACATGTGTGCCACAGAGCTTGTCTAGTTTACCTGTTGGCTGCCCAGTAATTGCTCCTTTGGAGATTACCATCGATTACCGAATCGAACTCGATAGAAGGCGTGTTTATTTGAAGCACTTTGGCATCAGCACTAGGAAATTAATGCGTGAATATTACTTTGAAATAGCCTAAATAAATGTTCAGCAGCGGGACTACTACTACTACTACTAGCACGATTTCTAAGGGTATTCGCCACGGCGAAACGGCCTCCAAACAATTCCGCCCCATCCTTTATTTAGTTTCTTTTGCCTTTCATAATTTACAGCCAGCCGAGCGGTAAATTAGCCAAGGAAGGAGGCCGGAGGAGGGCGACCATGTCGGGCAGGCGGGCCCAATCGCTGCCGGCGCACATGTTGGAGCCAGCGAAGCCGCAACGCGGACGTTGTGTGGCTGCCATCTGCTTCTCGTGGAAGGTGCTCACCTGCATTGTGTCCCATGTGCTGCTCGTGCTCCTCGTGGTTTCCTATTGCGTGGGCGGCGCCTACCTCTTCCAGCACCTCGAACGACCCCACGAACTGGAGGTGAGTGGGTGTTTTTGTTTGGAAGCCCAAATTCTAGAAGTCCCTCCACAGGTGAAGCGCGACATACAGAATCTTCGCGTGAATCTCACCGAGAATATCTGGCTTCTGTCGGACGACGCGGTGGTGCTCAGGGAAAGCGATTGGATGGCCAACGTCAGTAAGCACCTGGCCAACTTCGAAAAGCAAATCCTTACGGCCATCAAGGCCGACGGCTGGGATGGCGACGAGGATCTGCGCAAGTCCCAGTGGACCTTTGCTGGATCGCTCTTCTACTCCATTATTGTGATTACGACCATAGGTGAGTATATCGAGTTCTTCACAGTCGGAGGAAAGTTCCAGTAAACATGCAAATTTATTTGCTTAATCTATCGTAAACTATGCCTACAGTAAGGTGACTACTTACAACTCAGCCTAAGAGAATGAAACAAGGATTCAGGAATTTTTAAATCGACTGCAGATCTGTGTGGTCGCAGGATGGATGAGTAGGAAAGTAATCGCTTCAGTTCGATATCTTTAACATATCTTCTTCCACTTCTAAACGAGAGGTTCTAGACCTTCTTACTGAGCTTATCATTCACTTTACCGGGTGACGCTGCCACACTCTTAGCGCTTTTGCCCTCGGCCACAGCTGGCGATTTCTCATCGTAGCCGAAGCCACCTAGCGGTGGAAAACTGCCGCCGTATCCTTGTCCCCCGTTGCCAACTCCCAGTTGACCTAAGCCCAAGCCGCCTGCCAGACCATAGCCCTCGGTGTACTGAGGTCCTCCAAACTGTTGGTTTGCGGGATACTGCGCCAGTCCTGGGAATTGGGCAGCTGCGCCCGCGAACTGGTTACCACCGTAGTCGCCACCCGGATAGGAACCGTAAGGGTATTGTCCATTGCTAGGGAACTGGATAGGGCCAAGTCCATTGCTAGGGAACTGGTTAAGGCCAAGTCCATTGCTGGGGAAGCTATTGAAGCCACCACCCACGTTGGCTCCGGGGAATACAGCTCCGGGAAGTGCCTGGCCTACGCCGCCGTATCCGCCTGGATATCCACCAATGCCGCTTTGGGCTCCAGAGAATCCGCCATAGCCCGGCTGATAAGGAGCAGGGTACAGCTGCGGTCTCCCTATGATTCCAGTGGGTCCTCCAGGTCCCACTAGCACGCCGGGGTTGCCGTTATACCCTCCCAGTCCTCCGAACTGCCCGGCAGTGCTCTGACCACCATATGGATTATACTGGCGGGTACCTACGTTGGGAGTGTCCGGTGACCTGGTGGGCTCCACATCGGCGTAATCCTCTATCTCATCATTCTCCGGTTCTCCGGGAAAAGGTCTTCGAGTCGTGGGCTCCCGCCTCAGCTTTTCGTCGTACGAATTCCTTATGGGGCCGCTGCGATCGATGTCCCGAAAGGAGCGCTCCCTGCGATTGGAGGATCGCCAGGCCCACTGGTCTCGATCTCCGTCCGAAGACTTAGCCGCCACCAATCCCAGAAGGCTTAGCGCGATGATGAGGCAATAGCTTGGCATGATTGGTACGCTTCGTTCGTCGATCACACACTGACCCGTATTTTGCGCTTGGTCGCGGCAAGCTCCCGCAGCAGAATAGTTCGGAAATGTGACCGGCACACACTACTTATATAACCGCACCCGAGAACCGAAAAACAAATACCAGCAGCAGAGACATCAGCGGCGATGACGACGCACAAACTCAGTCAAGCGACGAGGGCAGCCGCAGGTGGGGATTCGGAATCGGCGACTGGCCGACCAGTGAATCAACGATCGTGGCAGACAGAAATCTTCACAGATCTTCAGAGATTCACGTATCGCTGATTCACCTGAAGCGCGACCAGACCGCGATCCGCCCAGGAACCAATGAGGCAAGCGGATGAATCGGACAATTGGTTTTGTCCACTCAGCGATCACGTTGAAATCGCATAAATCACGGTAATTGACCACTGATCGGCCCAAAAACGATTCCTGGGAATCAGCGTGAGTTGGGCAACGCACGCCCATACTCCCTTTTGCAGGGCGGGATTCGGCTCGGACACAGTTAGGTGAGCAGCCAGCACGTGGGTGACCTCTAAAAATGGGTTCATTTGGCAGGTGATGACTTTCAAGGGGAGCGAGGGTGTGTGGAGCGTGTCAAATGAAACCAAAAGTGGAATGGCTGCCATCCAATTGTCTGTGGTCAAAACAACAGCAAGGTCAAACGCCACTGACCGATCGTGATTATCTTTTCTGACGTTTCAGATTTAGATTTAACGATGGGAATTTCTGATTGTTAGTATACCCTAACAGAGGGCTTAAGTGGTCCAGAAGGGAAGTAGGTAGGTAGGTTTTAAATCGGCAGAGTATCGAAGGCTGTTCACAAATCAGAAGGCTATAATCTCTCCTGCATGGCAAGTATCTTTAGCCATGTACTTCTAGCCACTTAGAGCATTCAACTTTTCGGCTTGCGACTATCAGTATTCTGCATAAAGTAGTTTATTAAATCTAGCTCTTGATGATGGAGCTTAGTTTTTCGCCTTGTGCGTGCACATTTCCCCGCTATGGATTTGCGGCTGACACACAAATGGGTTTAGTGACCGACACCCATCAGATAGAACGCCGCGAAGAGGGCAGAATGCTATCTACGAATTTGCACACTTCCGCAAAGGCCAAAAGCGGCAAACTTGAAATACCATGTTTGCATTGTTGGCCGATTGCTATTTCCAAGCGAAAATGGGCTTGGCACAAAAATAAGTACGGATGGCTTGGGTCTTAGACTCATTAGCATTTCAAGAACTTTGGGGTCACAAGGTTGAAGGCGAAGCTCAAAATCAAACTTACCCTTCTGTGAAAGAGTAATTTGGCATTCCTGGTCATTCTCCGGACAGGCTATGGCCACATATCGCCGCGCACGGATTGGGGCAAGGTGACAACCATTTTCTACGCCATTGTGGGCATTCCGCTGATGCTCATCTGCCTGTCCAACATTGGCGACGTCATGGCCACATCATTCCGGTGAGTCGACATCGATGAACTGAGAATTAAATAAATTAATTTTAATGTTTCCCAAATTATACATTTTAATCCTCACCCGTAGGTTTCTGTACTGGAGAATTTGCTGCTATGTGTGCACCCGCACGGCCAAACGCCCGCGGAATGCCCGATCCCGGCAGAGATCGATGCGGTCTCAGCGCCATGCCCGTTCCCAGCCGCCTCCCTCGTTCCGGCGCTCCATGAAGATGACCCAACGGTCCGGGAACGACTCGGGCCTGGGTCCTTCTATGGGTCATGCCTACTCAGATCCCGACCTTCGCATGGGCAGGGGTTACGATGACCGGGAGTTCGGGCATCGGAGCAGTGGCGGTGGACGTAATCGTCGCCAGCAGCAGCAGCATCAGCATTCACATCACGATCCTCGCCAGCGGCACACCATTTACGGAGACGGGTACGAAACTCAGACCCTGAACCGATCCAACCGCTACAGTAGTCGGCAGAGACAACGGGATCGGATGAGGGACAGGCACACAGTGGAAAGGGAGCGCTATTCCCGATCCCATTTGGATGCTGGATCCATTGAGGACTTCAGTGACATGCAACCTACAGCCAAGAGAGCGGCCAGTGTGCGTTCGGTTCGATCACCCCACAATCAGGAATCTTCGAAAGCGTCCAGAGAACTGCATCGACTTCACTCGGCTCCTGGGAGAAGTAGGGCCAAGTCCGTGGATCCCAGGCACGTTTCCTCGCATTACGAAGACGTCGACGAGGACGTGGTGAGGAAAACACCCATCATACCAAACAGGTATGCTCTAGATGACTTCGGTGGCAATAGGAGGCCAGCAGCACCAAGGAGTCAATCCATGCCAAGATCTGCTCACCAAAGGCAGCGCCAGAAAGATAGAGAACGGGAGCGGTCGCCCCAACCGCCAGCGCAGAGTTCCTATCGCCAACACCATGACAGAAGAGCTGGAAGTCTGGGCAGGCAATCCTCTCGCTACGGCAACCATCTCGAGCTGCCCGACTATGATGCTCCACCGCCGGGACGGGATCATCGGCGGGATAGGCGTGGCCACTCGCAAGGTCGCTACGAGGACTACGTAGAAGAGAGCTTCGATGAGGGATCCCTTTACGGAGATAATAACTACGAGGATTACCCACCTGAGCGCCACCACTCCAGGAGTCGCGAACCAAAAAGGAATCGCCGAAGAGAACGGGCTGAGCGTTTGCCCCCTTCCCCGAGAATAATGTCACCAATGGGATTTCCGGTCCAACGGCAAATCCGTCGGCGTCCCAGCTACGATTACGACGACGATGACTCCATGTACGGAGATGAGTATGGGGACTATGGAGATCTGCTGCCCAAGGATCGCCCTGTCCCCATTTGGCTATGCGTCTTTTTGGTAGTCAGCTACATCCTTGGCGGAGCTGCTCTTTTTGCGTACTGGGAGAACTGGTCCTTCTTGGACTCAGCCTACTTTTGCTTCATCACTCTGACCACAATTGGTGAGTGTTTCTCCCGTATACCTATTCCATGCGTACTTTTTCACTATGTTGTTCCATACAGGATTTGGTGACTTTGTGCCCGCAAAAGGAGTCAAGGATGAGTCGGAGCAGTCCATTGCCTATTGCTCGCTGTACCTTCTTTTCGGCATTGCCCTGTTGGCCATGAGCTTCAACCTGGTCCAGGAGGAGTTCATTGCCAATGTCAAGGAGGTAGCCCGCCGTCTGGGCATTCTCAAAGACGATGACGACGAGCAGGACGAGGGTTAGTAATAGATAGATAGATATTGACATCTGTCTTTTCCCCAACATGTTGGGAGGGATAAACTAATTATAAGCTTTATGATGTAAAAGGGAACGCACTTTAAAAGATGGCTAGTTTATATGTTTAAATGTTTTATGAACATAACTTGAACCAATTTGATTTCACAAACGAGATTATGTTTAGTAAAATAGTTAAGATTATATTAATTCTAAAGCCCTTGTTTCGAATTAATGGCATCATTAAAAAGAACTGTTTTCTCTTCTTCACCGGAAAAAGTATCAAAGTTTGAGAGAAACCTCTACCCAAATCACCTTATGATATATGTACCTTAAGCCTGCACTCAAACTGGAGGTTTCTTAACTTTACATAGCATACTAAGTTTATTTAAATAATAAATGTACGAAATTCCAAAGATTGATAAACAGATAAAATGAATATCCAGAAGAGCCAAACAAACACATCGATCCGAAATCCACTAACATAAACGGGTTACTGAGTAGAGTACTATTGTCATCGAACGCAATCAGGCTATGTTTTCTTTGTTGTGCTAAAATATTGAGAATAAAAGCAATGATAATTTATCCCTACCCTTTATTTGGTTAGTCATTAGCGGACTTGCACTTGACTTACCCTGCCGAAGGCTGGAGAGCCTCGCGGTGATGTTTTCCTGGGTGTGAGGGAACGTGACAACGAGCTGCTTCGTTTTCCACCTGTAACTGCGGGCGGCTTCAGGGCGTTCGAATTGGAGTTGCGGGTGGTGCCGCAACCACGCTTCACGTTGACACCATCCACGGGCTCAATGGGCGTGGAGTTCATAATGGTTTCAGTTTCGGACAGCTCCTGGACGGATTGCAGGGAGTCGTCATGCTCACCCTCGCTGCACTACGAATTTGAAAATAAAGTTAGTTTCCGACATACAAAGTTGTAGGATTTAGGGTTACCTCATCAATAGTGGCCGTGGTGTCCAGATCTGACCAGTCCTGCTCTTGGCGATAGCGCTTCACAATGTCCTGATGCGGAGACGTGGCCACCAGGTTGCGTGGATAGACGAAATCTCTTTTTGAGGGGGTGGTCCCGGTTGGGGCGTACGTTTTCAACTCCGACTGCTGGAAGCGTACAAGCTCTTGCTCGCAAATCTGCAGTTGCTGCCGCTGCAGTGCAGCATGCTCCTTAGAATGCCGGTTCGACTCTTGGACAAGATCGCTGGCAACGGTGGCATGACCAAGGAATCGCTGTCTGTCCTCGGTGATTAGCTGCTGCCTTGCGACCACCATTTGCTCCAAGTTAACTTGGGTTTTCTCCTGAACCGCCTCCAGCTGCTGCTTGCTTTCCTGGCAAATGAATTCCACCTGACTGTGGTGCAGGCGAACGAAAGCAACATTTTCATCTGTCTCCTTCTTACATTCCTGGTTGAGATTCTTCATATGCACCTGGAGCATAGAACAGTTGGCCACGCCTTGGTCCAGGCAAAGCATTCCCGCCTCCATTTGACTGCTGAGCTCCGCTTGTGCGGATTGAGAAGCTTCGATACCCAACTTTTGGTAGTCTTGGATACCAGACTTAATATCATCGATGCGTTGATTTCTCGTCAGTCGACTCTCCTCCATCTTATTAATGTGCATGGACATGCTAATGCTATTTTTCGCTCGCAAGTTCTTGATCTGGTCCATCTGCATCATCATGGACTCTAGGAGATTTTCCTCCTGCTGTGCCAGAGCTCGTTCGTTCGCCAATTGCTCTTCAAGCTTCTGCAGTTCCTCCGCATCTGGCAAACTCATTGCCCCGACCTGTTCCAACTTTTGGTGCATTTGCTTCGCGTGTTCTTCCAGGGACTGTAAGCTGCTGTTAATTATGTGGGCGAACTTTTCCTGCATAGAGTCCAGCATGGCTTTGTGCCGCTGGTTGTTCTCCTCGATCTCCTGTAGGTTAGACTGAATTTCTTTGCTCATCAAGAGCTGTCGCTGCTGCATCTGCTCCATCAGATTTGCGACATATTTCTGAGAGTGCTGATCGCTGATCTTCAAAACTTCTGCTATTAACTTATTTTGCAGGTTGGTCTGCTCCTGTAGCGATTGGGCGCACACCTCCTTAAGCATTTCAATACTTTTGCTAGAATTGGTTGCGAGGCGTTGGCAAACATTGCTGGAGTTTACTGGAGATTTATACAATTCGTTTAATATACAAGAATAATATACAAAATAATGTCTGTATATAGCTTACCCATTTCCTGGCTTAACTGCTCCTTGAGGGCTGCCCGCTGATCCTGATACAAACTGAGGCTGCCACCAATCATTTCCAAATTGTCCTGCATACGATCTTTAAACTGATCGCAAGATCGGCGAATCTTCTCGTCCACATCACGCCTTCTTTCGATAGTTCCGTGCAGCTGATGAGTATCACCCGTGGCCAGATCAGCAGCGGCTAGGATTTCCTGAGCCTGTGTGGTCAAAACCTGCTCCGTTTTCATGTGCGAGGCGACCAACTCCTTTTTTTCTTTGTAGCGTCGCTTGGTTTTTGTCAGCACTTTCTTGGTCAGAAGCAGAGTACCCTTCGTGTTCATTAGGTTCTCCTCGGTCTTCTTTAGCTCCTGCGTTTTCTCCACAAGACTCATGCTCACCTCGCTGAAGATCTTCTCCTTGTTCTGGAGTTCGTCCTTCAAAGCCTTGAGCAGCAGCATCTTTTCGTTAAGCTCGCGGTTCTGGGATTCCAACTTCAATGTTATCTCCCCGTAGGTTTCCTCGGCCAAATAAATGCCATTCTTGTCCCTGGCCGCCATAAGATCTCTTTTGAGCTTGTCGATTTCCTCAGTGTATTCCTTGAGCACGGTCTTCTTGGTCAGCTTTTGATTAACTTCGGGCTTGTTTTGAATGTTCTTAGCGCGATGAGCATACTCTAAAGTGCTTAGGGTCTCTTCGATGTCCTTGTGACCCGGCGATATGGTGGCTATGATGGACGTCTTGGTCCTGCCACCCAGGGATTCTTGCAGCAGCCTAGTCAGTTTTGATTCACGATATGGAACGTGAGGAGCGCGATCGACCAAAGCGGTAATTACTCTACCGAGAGTCAAGAGGCTCTGATTAATGTTCACTGTTTCCCGCACACGTATTCCCTTTTCATTTCCCGCCTTTGAAACATTTTCACTGCCCGCCAAATCCACCAGATTAAGTTTACCGATTTTCAGCATGTCCTCTCCTTCAATGCCATTCTCCCTGATGTGCACAACTATAGAAAACACGGTGTGTGAGCGTGAGGACTGGGCATTCATCAAGGTTGTGGCTGTTTTGCGACGCTCTTTTCCCTTCTCCAGCAGCTTGTACACATCATCCTTGCTGTGCACTGGTATCTCCTCCAGGCCCTGGATAATAACCGATCCCTTCTTAGTGCTGTCATCAAAAATACGTATCTTGGTGGTGTCATCAGTAGACAGAAGATCGCATAGCTCCTCGTTGTACAGCTCCAGGTAGGAAATGCGCATCGTGTACTCAACTTCCATCATGCGCAGCTCATCGAAAAGATGACTCAGAGCTCGCGGTATGATGCCGATGTCAGAGTCCTAAGCGGGAATTCGAATTGGAAAAGGTTTGATTAGCGCTTCTTAGAAGAGGAAAGAAAACTGGTTTTGATAGCCTTGGGCCAGATGGCTAAGAATGGCAAAGACCCTTTTTTTGTCTTGTTAAACGCCGAAAGTTAGGATGTAGGAGCCTATCCTAAAATGGTCGACTGGTAAAATAGTTCTGATTTCAATTTGGAATCGAGTGGATTAAGACGTTTGGCTGTTTTTGTACACTCACATCTTCCCAGGAGGATTTCAGTTCGGCAGTCTCATTGCCCACCATGGTGTGGGTCTTTCCTGTGCCCGTTTGGCCATAAGCAAAAACCGTGCAGTTGTAGCCATTGAGAACCTCCTCGATCAGCGGAGACACCACGACAGAGTAGACGTCGCACTGCTTGGACTCGGGGCCAAAGCTGCGGTCAAAGGTGAACTTCTTGGTGAGCTTGGAGTCCAGCGTGTGGCGGGTGAGCACTTCCCGTGGTCCGACCACATCCACGACTTCGGCTGATCGGATACAACGTTCCCGAGAATTGAGTGGTCTACAAAAGATATAGGATGTAGAACTCTTCCTACCGGCTTTGGTTACATATACAAACTTACCTGACGCGCACATACACCTGGATGTTTTGGTTTGACTTCTTTGGCGGCTGGCGTGACGTATTCCCACCAGATACGTCCATTTTGATCAATTAAAAGAATTGACTGTGGTTTTAGCGCGTACAGTCAAAAAAATGACGCTCGGCGTTTGCACTAGTATGCGTGCCCGCGTGATTGATTCCTGGAAATCCGTGTGCTTCACTGTCCACAGAACTAAATGCCGATAATTGTAACTACTATTTACAGAGGGGTGGGGTGGCGTGGAAAACTAATTTTTCGCACTATTTCCAATGAGAACAGCGAGAAGCGTCTTCAGTTGTCCGTTCAATTTTAAAATAATGCGCAAATAGTGTGACCGCAACTGGGCACGTTAAAAATACCATCTCTGGCAGAGGAAATATACTGGAAACTAGTTTTGAGTATTGGAAAACTACAGAATATACGATTTACTTAAACTAAATAATTGTGTAAGTTTTATTTGTTGTACGTTAAACCACTAATTATGTATAGTAAACTATCGAATAATTCAGACTAAGCTATGTGGGTTAGAATGCCCTGCCTCACGAGAGACTCCACCTGAGCGCGGGGCAGATAGTGCTGGCTGTTCTTCTTCAGGTGGATCACCTCGCCGTCGTCCAGCTCGAACTTCCCATAGTCCTCCATGCAGCGCACCTCGATGTAGAGGGACTTCGGAGGACGCAGGTTGTTGGTTAGGTCGATGGGCAACCCCTGGTTGTAGCCCGCACTGCACATGTACGCAGCCAGGGACTTGGAGTAGTTGTTGAAGAAGGTGACCTCCGGTTCGCAAAGTGCCTGCTTGATGTCCCCGGGAATAATGGGTCCAAACTCCCACCGGAGGGCCTTTATCCTCTTGCACCGCTCGTACAAGTAGGCCAGCAGGCACCTCTTGTTCCGCTGGAGAGCTGCATGTCTGAAGTTGAGAAGGGGCCACAGACTGCGATCCCCGGAAGTATTGTAGGTGGAGGCCTGAGCCACGTTCTCCTCGAATATCGCCTTGATCTCCTCCAGCACCTGACGTACACCGTCGTCGTCGAAGGCGGGAATGGTCTGCGATGATCTCTCCAGTTCCTTCAGAAGGTCGAAGGCTTTCTCGCCGAACAGTTTGGTTTGTCGGCTCATTGTTGATCTCCTCTTGTTTTTGTTTGGTGATCTAGCGATGGTTTCGCGCCAAAATGTTCGTCAATTTTGTGGTATCAATACTTGATATCGATTCACTGTGTTTTCAGAAATATACCAAAAGTTCAAATTCAGTGCCCCAGTAGCCAGGGCTTATTAAAGAAAAATTTTGAAAAGGTTATTCAACAAAATTAAGCTTTTGTGGCTCAAATTATGCCGTCCTAGACGAAAATGACATCTTGGTTAAATTGGTGCAACTTCGAGAGCGCAGTACCTCATGCAAGTAAGTGTGAACATCCCCAAGTATCGAACACATCAACTCTCCGCTGTTAGGCCAGCTGGTCCATCCCTATCACACACGTAGTGGCTAAAAGTTGGCCAAAAAATCAGATGAACGGCGAATAGTGTGTTAAATCAATAAAAAACGAATAACCAGCTGATTGTGTGGCTGATTGTGGTGCTGTGCGTGTGTGACAGCGGTGATAGCGACAGTGAATTCCCTAATACAGGAAGTGAGCAATCCCCACAAAGCAACGCGGAAGCAGCACTGGCTGTAGCTATTAACCCTTATTCCGTTTTTAACCCCTAGCCTTCGAAGTGGGCCGACCACCGCCGACCGCCGCAATCATGGACAGCAGGGTGGAGAACGCCGTGTACGATGACATGAACCTTTACATCACTCCGGAGAGCTTCATCATCGAACCGAATGGCGGAGCAGAGGTGTTGGTAGTCGGGCGCCACGACAAAGTCACCAGGGTTCAGCCAGCAAGCGGAGGTCACTTGGCCAACCTTCGGCCCACCAGGAGGATTTGTGGGGTACTGGGCACCATTCACCTTCTGAACTGCAACTACCTTCTGGTGGCCACTCACCGTCTCTTCGTGGGCGTGCTCAATGGCGCCGTCGTGTGGAGATTAGCTGGCTATGACATCATACCCTACATTCCCAATGCCTTCCAGCGCAAGGAAAACGAAACGTACTTGCGAATGCTACGCCAGACACTGGACTCCAAGTTCTTTTACTTCTCCTACCGGTACGACCTCACCAATTCGCTCCAGCGGCAGCGCCAAGTGGCCCAATCGCGGCCAGAAGTGTCCGGATTGCTCCAGAGCGCTGAGCAGCGATTCGTTTGGAATGGCTATGTGCTGCGGCAGTTCAACTGCGATAAGATGGAGAAGTTCCAGCTGCCACTCGTTCTGGGCTTCGTGTCCATCAACCAGGTGGAGATTAACGGGCAGACATTCTTCTGGAGCATCATCACCAGGCGCTCCGTGCAGCGGGCGGGCACACGACTCTTCTGCCGAGGCAGCGACGAGCAGGGCCATGTTGCGAACTTCGTGGAGACCGAGCAAATAGTGGAGTTTAACGGGCAGCTGACGGGATTCGTGCAGACACGAGGCAGCATGCCCTTCCATTGGCACCAGCTGCCCAATTTGCGGTACAAGCCGCGACCCGTTCTGGTGCCGGGCAAGGATCATCTGGCCGCCTGCACGCTCCACTTTAAGGAACAAATCAGGCTGTATGGCAACAATGTGGCTGTAAATCTAGTGGATCACAAAGGCGCCGAGGGTGAGCTGGAGGCGACTTATGCCCGCCTGGTTCGAGAAATGGGAAATTCACAAGTGCGGTACGAGTCTTTTGACTTCCATAGCGAGTGCCGTAAGATGCGCTGGGACCGGCTGAACATACTCATCGATCGCCTGGCCCACGAGCAGGATCAGTTCGGTGTCTATCATGTCTTCGACGACGGCAAACTGGTGTCCACGCAGACAGGTGTCTTCCGAACGAATTGTATCGACTGTCTGGATAGGACGAATGTGGTGCAGAGCATGTTGGCCCGCAGATCTCTCACTGCGGTGCTCCAGAAGCTGGGAGTGCTTCATGTGGGTCAGCGAGTGGAACATGCTTCCCACATTTTCGAAAGCATTTTTAAGGGCGTGTGGGCGGACAACGCGGATCTGGTATCGCTACAATATTCCGGAACGTGTGCGCTCAAGACGGACTTCACCAGGACGGGCAAGAGGACCAAGGCTGGTGCTATGCAGGACGGCAAGAACTCACTGCTGCGCTACTATCTGAACAACTTTGCCGATGGCCAGCGGCAAGACGGCATCGATCTTTTCCTTGGCAAATATCTGGTCAACGACAGCGAGGGCGTTTTCGTGCCATCGCCATTGGACTCGAAGCGTGGTTGGCGGTTCTTCACCTTCCCCTCAGTGCTGCTGATAGCCGTGGCCATGTTCATGATCTCGATGACCTATCCGGCCGAGTTCAACACGGAGAACCTGCTGTTCATGCTCTTCTGGGGCGCAATGATCGCCGTTAGTGCCACGGGAATCCTGCACTTCGGCGTCGAGTTTGTGCAGTGGCCGCGGCTTATTCTGCCCATCTGTTTTCGAGACCAAGGGCATTAGTGTCGTCTAGCAGAGTCACTGGGAACTACCTCTGCCGCTAAATTGTCCCATTGCTCCAAGAAAGAACATTTTGTAAACCAATTCCTGTAATCGATTCGAATTCCTCTCAATTTTTGTTTTGTTTTATTCTGTTTTTGTTTAGTTGTAAAGCCCTCAAGTCCATTCCTTTCTGCAACTTGTTAGTTATCATACAAAACACAGAACACTTAGGCGAGCTTCAGGCGGCTGGGAAAGAGAATGAATTGGTTTTCGATCGGGCGAATTGTAGTGGTAAAGGTGCCGCTTATTAACTGCGATTAAATGCAATGTAGATCAATCACTTTTGTAGAACCATTTTATGACATTAAATAAAGTATTTTACGCATTGCTAGAAAACCTCAGTCCGGAGACTTCATAGTTACTTGTGGAGGTAAACTACACAGCCATAAAATGGCCATCTCTTAAAGGTTAAGAATAAAGGTTAAATGGGGGAGTTAACCATATAAACTTGTTCATTATAATGCATATAAATAATGGCAATAATGGTATTTTACTAGGAATGCAGAGCTGTAAGCTTTTTTCTGAAATATTTGTATGGCTTCTAATTAGGTATAGAATGCTTTTAGCTCTATGAATCGTAGGCAGGCCTTTAACATTCAGTCATATAGATTCATTTTGAAGAGCAGTCTTACCCTTTCGGCACGTCGTCAAAATCTACGTACAAAATTTAACCTTTTTCTTATTTCTCAAAATTTGGTTTTGGAGACAGAAAATTTCTAAAAACGTTTTCAAGGCAAACAGTTCTTTTGGTGTAGTCATTTTGTCAAGTTTCTAGTTTTTAAGATTTTACAAAAGAATGGACAAAGCGGAGAATCGCTCTAAACTTGCCGATAACTTCCTGTATATGCTAGAGTTCGTGGTGGACGATCTGCTGATCACTCGTCCAAACCTCTGTGCTCCGGAGGAGTACCCCACTTGCACGGAGATCACGTTCCGGTCGATTTTCCTGAACATCCGTGATCGGGAGAACGGAAGCTGCGTTAGCCCCTGTTCGCCCAAGACCGGAAAGTGCACCCTCTTCACGCTGGACTCGCCCATTACGGACGAGGACGTGATGCACATTCACGTTTACAAGAAACGCACGGAGAGCTGCAAGTTTCTGCTCGGGCTGACCGAGCTTCCGATGAAGCCGATCTTCGACAGGGTCAAGAAGGAGTTCGATTCGCGGAACATAAACTGGGAGGAGAACGTCATATCCCATGTGTCGCGACTGCCCAAGCTGAGGGGTCCCTGCAAGAAAGCCAGTGACTGCATCTGCTACGAGAGGAACAGGGAGCGGCGGGAGCAGTGGTGTCCCACCTCGGAGCTGACCAAGCGGATGCTGCCGCTCTTCAACCTGTGCAAGATGCAGACTGGCAACATAGTGCTGATCCTTCGACTGGTGTGCAATGGGCCCTCCGTGGTATCCTCCTTCCCTGTCCAGAGTCCCAGGTGCTGTCCATGCCAGGCCAGTTGGCCTGTTCCCTGTACGTCGCCATTCGATCCCTGCGATCCTTGCAAGTCCGTGAAAACCAAGAGTAAATAGGCAGGAAAAGCAGGAGCTGCTGGCTTTTATATTCCGCCTTCATTTAGTTGCCATAAGCACTTTTATTGTTTGACAAGGGATGCGCCTATCAACTGATAGCATTGGCTTTTTTTAAATATAAATAAAATATTTTACAATTTTGTATATCAATGCTGGCGTTTCAGTGGGTAAGGGTGAAGGGTAGCTCTAGTTCAGCTTATAAAAGAAATAATTAAATATTCAAAATGTAAATGATGATTTCCATCCCGCTGCTATATCTTTCACATCAAACTTTATGATGGCTGCAACAGGCTTGTCTGCTTCAATATAGAACAGTCTTGAAAGCATACTAAGTATTTGTGGAGCTCGCTTACAAATAATCGTAGTTCCCAAGTATTTCAAATACCTCTGATCCGAGTAGCTTTCGGGAAACCCATCGTTTTGGCAGTTCGAACCCCACCGTCTCCCCGTCTGGACATCCATTCAAAATCGGAATCTAAATTCAAATTTACTTACAAAATTTTTGGAAGCGCGTGTGGTCGGGTTTAAAAATTTGTAGTTTCGCTAAAACGAAAAACTAGCCAAAATTATTTTCGGAATCAGTGCCTAAGTTAGTTTATTCCCTCGAAAATGGACAAGTCTGATAAAACTGAGAAGTCCGAAAAGGCAGAGAAACCAGAGAAACCTCCCAAGATTGCCGGAAACTTCCTGTACATGTTCGAGTTCGTGGTGGACGACCTGCTGATCACCCGCCAGAATCTCTGCGCTCCGGAGGAGTATCCCACCTGCACGGAGATCACGTTCCGCTCGTCGGTTTACGTGAATATCTGCGATCGGGAGGTGGGCACCTGTGTTAACCCATGCTCGCCCAAGTGCGGCAAGTGCGCCCTGTTCACGCTGGACTCTCCCATCACGGACAAGGATGTGCTGCAGGTTCATGTCTATAAGAAGCGCACGGAGAGCTGCAAGTTCTTGATAGGACTATCGGAGCTAAAGGTGAAGCCCATCTTCGACCGCGTGAAGGAGTCCTTTGATGCCGAGAATCCCGACTGGGAAGGCGCCATGCTGGGGCACATCGCCCAGCTGCCCAAGATGAAGGGTCCCACCAGCAAGGGCCTCCTGGACAATTGTGCATGCTACGAGAAGCTGAACGAACGCCACGAGCAGTGGTGTCCCACCTCGGAGTTGTCCAAGCGATTGCTGCCCCTTTTCAACCTCTGCAAGATGCAGACTGGCAACATAGTGCTGATCCTTCGATTGGTGTGCAATGGTCCGACCATAGTGTCCACGTTCCCCTTCAGCAAGGTCTGCTCCCGGAACCCCAAGTGCCCCGAACCCTGCTGCGGTCCTTGTGGCCCCTGTGGTCCATGTCCTCCACCTCCCAGCTGCGGCTCTTGCCCACCTCCTCCCTGCTGTGGTCCGCCATGTCCGCCGCCCTGTGACCCCTGCGATCCGTGCGATCCCTGCAGTCCCTGCTGTGGTGGCGGAACTGCCACCGGGGGACCCATGGACAAGAAGGGCTGCAAGGGCTCATGTGCCCAGCCTCCTTGTCGTCGCTGCACAATGGTGGATCCTTGTGCCAAGCGAGTCGAACCTCCGGCCAAGTGCCTCAGGTACTACTCCTGCAATCTGGACAAACTCTGTCCCTGTGATTACTGCGAGGACGAGTTCGACAGGGGTGAGTTTGATTATCCCATTTATAGCATATCGATTCTTCCGTATATAAAAGACTTTTTGTGCACTTTGTATAGAATGATGTATTATATTAATTCAAACCACTTTTCCCTAGAATGTCCCACTGTTCCCACAAAGCGCTGCAATCTCTCGCCCATCGAACAAAAGCTGCAGAAATGCGGTCCCTGCGGCGGAATTCCACCGTACCCGCGGTTCATCCAGGAGAAGATGCAGGCCGCGCTGCTGAACAAACCGGAAACGGATCCCAAGAAGGACAAGGATGGTAAGGACAAGGGCGGCAAGGATGGAAAGGATGGCAAGGATGGAAAGGATGGCAAAGATGGCAAGGGCAAGAAGAAGCGTCAGGCTGGAGGAGCTGTGTGCCGCGTAGGAGACGAGAATGTTCCGTCCGCCGTCTACGAGGTTTGCGATCCGGTCTGCGAAGGAGTCCTCCAGGCGACCAGGAAAATGCGGTACAAGGAGCCCAGTGGCAGGTGCGACCGGCGGGAGGAGGAGTACGAAATGGCCTGTGATGAAGGTGAGTTCATACATTTAACACCACTTAGAAAACGGTTTCAACTGGGATTTCAGGGATGCCGAGTAGGCTTTGAAATGAACAGCACACATGTCTCGTAGCTCCACGAAAACCTTTAGTAGCACCAAGTAGACGGCGGGTAGAAGATCATCACTCGGTTTGCATTTGTTTTGTATACTCGAACGGGAAATGTTGTCAGCCGCACAAAATACACAAAAATAAAATCCTTCGTTTTTGTCACGCGAGTTTGGATGGAAATTAAAACAGAAGATCAGTACGGCTTTTTCCTATAGAGCTAAACACAGTCGTAGCGATCTATTAACTCGATTTTGCTTACTTTTTAGCGCGAAAACGGGCTGTGCGGAAATTGCGCCACTTACTGGTGAAGTACAATATCCAAATTGAGAATTGAAGGCTTTCGGAATTCAGATTTCAGCATCACTCCTGAATAATTGTATTGACTTACACACTCAACCACTGAACCACTCAACATGGCCAAGAAAAAGGGAAGAAAGGGCAAGAAGGGCAAGAAGCCAAAGGTCGACTGCAAGTTCAAGATCACGAACGAGATGCTCAAGCCCATGAACGAGAGTAAGTAGAAGGATCAATGAATCCATTTCGATCCACTGTCATGTTAAATGGACGTCCCTAGATGTTGATGACTGCGACGGCTGTTGCCAGTGCGCCTGCGATTGCGACTGCAGTCCGGAGATAGCGCCCTGCTTCATCCAGCCAACTAGGCCGGATCCGGGTCCGGAGGCGTACGATGAGTTCGAGGCCTGCCTCAATGGCAGCGGTCTGACCATCCGCGTCCTCAAGAACACCCACAAGGTGGAGAGCGTCCTGGATGGCAGCGAAACTGCGCCCAATTTAGGCGCTGGCGATGATCCCTGCTATCGCGATGACCCCAATGACTGCGAGCCCTCGAAGGAGTCCTGCCTGCACGATATGCTGCAGCGCAGCTCCTTCGCCCGGAACCACATCAAGCGCCGGACCGGCGGCAGGATCATCAACCACCCGAATATACCCAAGGTGCGAGCCAACATCAAGTACTCCGGGAACGACGCCTGCGAGACGGACAACTACTACGTGCCCTTCTCGAAGATCAAGGAGGCCTGCGACTTCCAGGAGGCCAAAGTGGACTGCTACCGCCAGCGGCTCTGCGGCGGCTACGATCCCATTGTGCCCGCGCAGTGTCCCGTCCAAAACAAGCGATCCTGTTGCATGCAGGTCGAGCGGAAGGACATCCTGGACACCATGAAGGGCGTCAATCTGGACACCAGGCGCAAGGGTATTGAGGTGAGTTCATCCGCTTCCGCTTTCTTTATTTATTCGCGCATCTCGTATATTTATTAAAAATATTTTTTTGGAAATGTTGCGCAGCAGTGAGTGAATGTTCCATCTTAGATCATTAACCACTGCTGATCGCCTCCGCATTCCATTTTTATACCTGTTACTCGTAGGTTAATGGGGTATACTAGATTCGTTGAAAATAATGTAACAGGCAGAATAAAGCGATTCCGACCATATGAAGTATATACATTCTTGACCACGATCAATAGCCGAGTCGAACTGGCATTTAAATTTGGAAATTTATTTTTCTTAATTTGTTTGATGTTAATATGTTGTAGGAATTCAGAATTGTCCAAAGACTGAAGTTCTAAAGTCCATAACTCAACTTATCTTAATCCGATTTTGAAGCGGCATACCTCTAAATGTTTCTGGAGCAATTCGCTAAAAAATTGCATTTAAATTTGGAAATTTATTTTTTATACATTTTTTTGTAATTTTTTTGATGTTAATATGTTGTAGGAATTCAGAATTGTCCAAAGACTGAAGTTCTAAAGTCCATAACTCAACTTATCTTAATCGGATTTTGAAGTGGCATACCTCTAAATGTTTCTGGAGCAATTCTCTAAAAAACTGCATTCAAATTTAGAAATTTATTTTTTATAAATTTTTTTGTAATTTTTTTGATGGGAATATGTTGTAGGAATCCAGAATTGTCCAAAGACTGAAGTTCTAAAGTCCATAACTCAACTTATCTTAATCCGATTTTGAAGCGGCATACCTCTAAATGTTTCTGGAGCAATTCTCTAAAAAACTGCATTTAAATTTGGAAATTTATTTTTTTTTAATTTTTTTGGATTTTTTTTTGTGGGAATATGTTGTAGGAATTCAGAATTGTCCAAAGACTGAAGTTCTAAAGTCCATAACTCAACTTATCTTAATCCGATTTTGAAGCGGCATACCTCTAAATGTTTCTGGAGCAATTCTCTAAAAAACTGCATTTAAATTTGGAAATTTATTTTTTATACATTTTTTTGTAATTTTTTGGGTGTTAATATATTGTAGGAATTCAGAATTGTCCAAAGACTGAGGTTCTAAAGTCCATAACTCAACTTATCTTACTCTGATTTTGAAGCGGCATACCTCTAAATGTTTCTGGAGCAATTCTCTAAAAAACTGCATTTAAATTTGGAAATTTATTTTTTTTTTATATTTTTGTAATTTTTTTGATTGGAATATGTTGTAAAAATTCAGAATTGTCCAAAGACTGAGGTTCTAAAGTCCATAACTCAACTTATCTTAATCTGATTTTGAAGCGGCATACCTCTAAATGTTTCTGGAGCAATTCTCTAAAAAACTGCATTTAAATTTGGAAATTTATTTTTTTTTAATTTTTTTGGATTTTTTTTTGTGGGAATATGTTGTAGGAATTCAGAATTGTCCAAAGACTGAAGTTCTAAAGTCCATAACTCAACTTATCTTAATCCGATTTTGAAGCGGCATACCTCTAAATGTTTCTGGAGCAATTCTCTAAAAAACTGCATTCAAATTTAGAAATTTATTTTTTATACATTTTTTTGTAATTTTTTTGATGGGAATATGTTGTAGGAATCCAGAATTGCCCAAAGACTGAAGTTCTAAAGTCCATAACTCAACTTATCTTAATCCGATTTTGAAGCGGCATACCTCTAAATGTTTCTGGAGCAATTCTCTAAAAAACTGCATTCAAATTTAGAAATTTATTTTTTATACATTTTTTTGTAATTTTTTGGGTGTTAATATATTGTAGGAATTCAGAATTGTCCAAAGACTGAAGTTCTGAAGTCCATAACTCAACTTATCTTAATCGGATTTTGATTAAACTTCGCCCAAAACTGTAACTATCACGCTTTTGAAAAATGTAAATTTTTAAAAATTTTTTTACGCTATTTCTGCCGATATTCCAGAAAATGTTGAAATTTTTCGTTTGCACTTTCACCAGCTGAGTATCTGGCATCTGATATTCGGGGAACTCGACTATAGCATTCCATCTTGTTTTAAGTTCGCTAGTTACGTGCGCGGATGCGGAATGTGAGTTCGATTTTTGGTCCGTGACTTGGCCCCACTAAGCGTTGTTGCAGGTGGTGCAACTTTGCCACTTCTGCCACTTCGGGAAGGCTTTCGATTGCCTCAATTGTGGGGCAGTTGCATAACATCTGCCTGCTCCAAATGTGGAACACTCTTTTCAGTTTGCGGTGGCAAATCCGCTGCAGCTCTCCATGGGTTTTTATTTATGGTAATCGCTGCGGAGATGTAACGCGTTGAATTGAACATATTTTGGTTAGCTGTTGCAAAGTATCTGACATATTTTTCATTTTTCCCTGGCTAGGTATGTTACAAAACCTGCGAAGAGACCGATAGCGACGTGTTCCTGGTCAAACTGGGCAGCAAGGCCAAGTCGCAGCACAAGAAGAACACCATCGAGATCGAGCTGAGGACGCCCAAGCAGCCCGTAACTCTTCCGATCAGCAAGGTCACCACGGAGACCTACGTTTCCGAGGAAATGCTCACCGGTGGCAAGAAGGGGAAGAAGGGCAAGAAGGGCAAGGGCAAGAAGGGCAAGGGCAAGGGCAAGAAGAAGAAGTAGAGGTAGGAGATGCCAGGCGAATCCTACTCCATCGACCGGACTTGAAGCACACCTTTTCGGAACACATCCTTTGGCTTTGGAGCAACACTTCGAAAATTCACAGCAGCTGTTAGTTGAAATTTGGTTATGGACTTTGGCCCATTCATGTCAACCCGTTTAAGACGCACGAACGCTCAATTTTTCGACTAGTTACGTAAATGTATAATTTTGATTGATGAAAACCAAGAATTAAAATTTAAAATTGCAAAATTAGCTGTAGTCCCACTTAGTGCTGATTAGTTTATTTGTGAGACTTCGAATACCCTTCAGAATATATTAGGAAATAATTTGCAAACTTAATAAAGCGGAAAATCTTCATTAGGGGTACTTAATGCCCAGTCAAGGACGCGGAGGTGTTTTATCTGCGACTCAGATGGGTCTAAAAATAGCCGACAAAGCCAATTCGCGATGCAGAACAGTGTTGCACACCTGTAATTAAAAGCCAAGAGACCCATCTCCGCCAGAAATATTCGCGAGAGGGGGGAATCGCGTCGCCGGTGGATGCAGCGGCAACTATGCGGTTTGGTCAGTCCAAACAAGTTGAGTAAGCCCCGATCGAGGTACACCACATGGAGAGGGAGAGCTCCAAGATCGGAGACCGCAGATCGCAGATCGGGCCAGCTGACCGATCGATGGCTCGGAGAGGAGTCGAGCGAGGAACTCGTTTTAGTTGCGTTCAAACGCTTTAGTCTGTAAGTTAACACGGCGAGTGCGATCGCAGGAAAGAGCCGAGAAAATCGTGAATCGGTGCCCCAGCCTAGATGTTAACCATTCGGCGGATCGGCCCCGAATGCGAGCAACTTTTGAGATCGTTCCACGACAGACCGACCACAAGCCAGTGAGAGATACGTCCAAACCGCTCCAGTTCGCTCGATCCAAGCTCCCGCTCGCCGCGAAAGCGAAAAGAAAGTGAATTGAGTGGAGATCTGGGCGATTACTTAATCCGCGTACGCCGTCACGACCAGCCATCGAACCCAACCTGGCTCCAAGCTCCAAGTCCGAATTCGAGGGCGCAAATTAATGGTCCCCATATAGATTCCCCCACAACGCCCCTCCACTCCGCGTTGACAGTTGGGCGGAGAAAAGCATAGTATTTGAATATCAAACTAGATCCGAGCGATACCACACATTTCCCCAATATTTTGATAATTTAGAAAGCGAAGCTGCATACCAAATAGGCCCCAGATCTAGAGACCCCCGAAAGTCCAACCTCCGCCGGTCAGTTGGCTTTCAGTTACAGCCCGAGATCGCAGGTTATAGCATACCACAGCCACTTGCTTTCCCCGGTTTTCGGTTTCGTCAAGTGCACTTGCAACTTTTACTGGTGCCTACAATCCGTGTGAAGAGTGCAAATCGGTGATCATGTTGCGCCCCACGCTCCTCATAGTGCTCATTTCGCTGGCCAGCGTCGATTCCGGCCACAACTCACCTGTAACCACAATCCCGGTGGCCAAGCCCCTCAGCCAGGA